CTATTATCCTGTGGAACATTCACTCCCTTCTGTGGGTATTCAAGCAAGGAGTCTCACATTCACGGGCACAAAGTGATTGGTATTCCGTGGAATTCATTCAAAATTGAAACTTTCGCATGAAAACTTTCGCCAATGGTGCAACCAGAGGGAGAGAAAGAGGGGCGCGCTTTTGTGGGTGTGAGAGAACTGAAGGAAATGCTAGACCGCGCACTTTATCACCGTGAAAATTAGACGGAGCACCAATCTTGGATACGACGCGAGCCTTACTGACCTACACTGGCAACCAGTGAGCTGCTTCCACCCGAAAAGTCGTGCACTCTTCAATATTACACTCCCCCTCGATTCCACACAGACACACAGGCCGCTCCAACGCAGTTTTCTGCGCTGACATCGTACGCGAAAACTACCAGTTCCACACTCATAATTAGTATATCACCCCTCACAAATTGCTGAAGTCACCAAGGGAAAAAAATGAGCGTCTATTTCACCCACAGTCATGGCAGAGTAATCAGAACTTTTATTATTATTTCCACAAAAGAGGAGAGAAATCATCTCCCAACACCGGAACACAGACACAGGATGGCAAATGTACCGATATTTCGTTATCGATAGGTGAGAAATATACCGACTTTGATGGCTTCTATGCACAAGCAATATCACACAGTGTGGGCAAATGTGTGTACAACAAACTTTTATACTAAATACAACATTTTTCACTCACGCCAGAAACACACAAAACGACTGCTGGTCATGCGCATTGCGATGCCACCTTCTGTTTTTCGCCCTTTTCTCACTACCCTGCTTCCGTTCACCCTGTGAACAACCCCCCTGTCGGCTAGCTGGCACAACCACACTCCCCACTTCGCACTCACACACAGCCACATTTGCCAGACTGAAAACCGCATTTCCATTTTCTTGAGCAGGGATTAAAGATGAATTCTTGCGTAATTGAAATTGCAAAGATTCTACATATTCCTAGAAATCCTTCCATGGATGAATAGAGGCATTTCTGTACACGGAACCAAGAGATATTTGCTTCACTTTGATAGATTTTTCAACTATTTTCTTGTCTTCTTTACTCACTGTAGAAAAATTCACAACTTCCCGTCTTAAAGTATGTGCAGAATTTTTCTCATCAATTCAATATTTATCCTTCATCTACAGTGTTGATATACTCTGGTGACAAAGACGACGTCGGCGTATAGTCGTCGACGAGTAAAAGTCACTGATACGCTTGTTGTTCTGACTCACAGAATTCACCAAAAAAAAAAAAACAGAACCGGGAGGCAACGAGAGGAGGTGGAAAAAGGTCTCCGAAATTCCCAGCCAGACAATTTAGCAATATTTACATTCATTTTTCCATCCACGGAAGTGAGTTGCTTTGATGTGTCTTCGCGGGATGGAGGGAAAAAAGAGAGAAAAATCACACACACAGAACATCCCTGGGAAGAAGAAACCCTTTGTGACATTGAGAGAATTAATTGAGAAATTGTGTGAAATTCCATTGAGACGTCTTAGTCTGAAGAGAATTTTGCAAGGCATTCATATCCCCATGATATTCCTTCCCCTTTCTCGCTCTCTCTCTCTCGCTCTTTGCCAACTTCCCAAGTTGAGGATGAACGGAAAATTCTCAAAAGCAAAGTTATTGCTGCAATTTAACGAACACATTCCCCGCTCTTTTACCTCTCTTATCACTTTCCGCCTCTTCGCACCCCAACTTTTCTGCCCCAATCACGATCAATTTTCCCACCCGCTCGTGGGGTGTAAGACAAATAGGTCACTCACCTGAAATGAGAGGAAAAAAAGCTGCAATGAGTACAATTGAAGACGAATTGGTTGGGGAAGAATATTGAATATTCAGTGGAGCGGAAAGGTTGAGGAGAGATATGTTCAAAATTTATTGGACTCATTAAAATTCCTTCACTCTCGAGGTAAGCGTTCTGTGTCAAATTCCATCTATTTATTGGCACTTGACCTCCCTTCGCGCCAAAAGAGGGAAATGGAAAGCAGACGGAGACCAGTAATAATGTCAAAATTCCACCGGCAAAGATATGACACCACCCAGGATACAATGGCATAAAAGATCATAGAGAACAATAGATTGTGAGGAAATAATTGGAATTTCAAATTCAATTCGTCATATACACTTTAAGTGTTTCAGTCATTCACTGCGTTTCAAGCAACAATCAATCGCCTCAGATTTAAATTAGAATTCAAAACTCTGTCAAGAGTGTCTAATGTGTATTGACGAGACGCAATTAGCGATAATTGAATTTATGGTCCAGAAATGTGTGCGTTCTTCATTTTGAAAGGAGCATTTGAGGAAGCAGAAAACAGTTGAGGCAATTTTCTCAAAGTCATGACAATATTTAGTCAAGAATAGTTGTGAAGAGCTTCACAAACATTCCTTAAATGAAAAGGTGACGCATATAAGAGAAATAACAGTCTGCAACTTTGATACAAGCGCCTATATACAGAATTGTATGTTTTCCACAATCATTCCAACGTTTTCCTCCACCCAAGCATTTCCCTAAAGACTAATTTGTGCTTTTGCAAGAACTTTATAATGCACTACTGAAAATATCACACATGAAACTTTAATGATAGTCTGTGTGGCAAAGAGTACATCAACCTTAATCCACACTTTTTCCTCTTCGCCCCATTTTCCCATGAGAAACTCTCTGGGTGAACACACATAGAAAAAAGAGGAATACTTTTCAGTTCAGAGAAATGAGAAACGCCACATTTTCCTCGCAGTGCACAAAATTCATATGCAAACCAACACACTTGAAATCCTTCAAATTGAAGAGATTTTCGCAATGTGTAAAGTAATTTAACACACAGAGCGAGGAAGATGAAAAAAATGAAATGCTGCTAAACAACTCAATTGCGTATGCGAGTCCAGGGGAAAGAAGTGAAAAAAAACTCAATTGCTCTTAAGACGAAAAGACGGAGAGAAACATATTCAATTTGTTTAAGATAAACTCCCATTTTGTCATTCCTCATTCCAATCCCCCCGAAAGTCCTCATCCACAAGAAGATGAAATTAGAGAAGAAACCTCCTTATGTTACAATTGGAATACATATAGCAATTTTTCCCCCAAACACACACACAAACACAGAATGTGGGACAGATGATATGGGGAGCCTCATTGTCATGTACGAGACATTGAATGAGAGTCTCTGAGGCCTGGGAGAGGATCATCTCTTTTTGCTCGCAGCCTTTTTGGCCGCACTATTGCGAAAAGGGAGAGGCGGCGGTTGGTGGTGGTGAAAGCCATAGAGGAACATCACAAAGTCAACCCCCCTAATTTCAGTCTCCAACTCACGCTCGCCCCCAGTGTTGCTCCAAGAAATATTTATACAATGCGTATCGGGAGAAGAAATACTTTGGACATAGACGACGATACGAAGCAGAAGAGAGTGAGAAAATAGGCAATTTATATTGTGATGCGAGAGTGTATGAAAGATAGTGGTGAAGAGACAAAATATCACCCATTGTCTATGCCATCATGGGAATAGGCAGTCTGTTCAGGATGTCGTGCTAACATCTAAACTGCTTAGTTTTCACTTATGTCTTACTCAGAATTACCAACTGCATTAAGTTGTATTTTCCACAATAGCAAAACAATCTGCAAGAAGCAGAAACAAAGCCTGGATAAATACACAAAATGATTATTAGATTTTCCTGAGACTTTCAAATGACAATTTCAGCTACCATTTTCACCCCTTTTTCTGGAAACTTTTCCCCCTCACGTAGATTGGATTCAACAAGAACACACACACCCATTTTCCGGAGAAAATCGATGTGTTAAATCACAATTTAAGGACAAGCCATCAAACTCTGGACACACAGTATTCTATGTATGCCTTTGCATTGAGATCCTTTTGATAGAAATTTCTTTTCTCTCTCTCGCTAGAGAACAATACAAACAAGGGATTGTCTGACTTAAAAAAAAAAACACACACGCAAAAGACTTTTATCGACTTTTCCACAGAATTCTTTTACACTGATGTTGACACAAGGAACAATGCACGAATGTCATTTCTCTCCTTCCCAACTTTTGCGGCATTAAAAAAAAAGAAATCACCAGAGAGATATAAAAAAGGAGTCAAGCATTATCATTAGTAAGTTTCACGACTTTTCATCGTCAGCACATGAGAAGCGCCGGAAAATTGATCTGCCTGAACGATTATCATCATCTTAAATGCAAGTGGGAAAAATTTACATTGGAAAAACGTTTTCACCATCAACATAAAAGTGAGTGTGTATTGAGTACTAAATCCACCCCATAGCATCTCAACATTCAATTTATCCTGAGCGACAATTCAATAACAATAAAGAAGGAAAAAAAATACACCAGAAGAAGGCGTGGAAGCAAAGAAAATATTCTTAATGCACTTCAGAGTTTAATTTTTCTCTTCTCACCCAAGCACTTCGCATCACGTGTCAGTCATAATTAAAAATTATGTGATAATTGGCAATTTTCTCGAGTGCATCCTTGAAACAAACAGGAGCTATCCAACCATTAAAATGTTGTGTGAAATATTAGTGAGTGTTTATCTTTGCGCGAGTGCAAAAGTACTCTGACCATTATTTTTCCTATTTTCCTCTCGTTCGTTTCTCTCTCTCGTTCCGTTCCGCTTTTCTTTTCCCATGAGGAGTGACAAAGAAAGGCAATTTTCTTGTAAAATATTGTTCACGAACTTTTCTACAGTGTCTTTTCTGTGTGTGTATGTTTTGCGAATATCACCCTGAATGTTGGGGTAATCTATATTGAACTATGAGAGCGAATACACCCTGTGTAAAGTCATTTCCACGGGATCAAATTGTCGTAAAACCCGTGAATGCCTTTCTTCGGGCAAACATCGTGTGTGGGGATGAAATAAAACGAAGGCAGACACATAAAGTCCCAACGTGAGAAATAGGCTAAAAGAGTATCCCCGCCACTGAAGGACAACATTGCATGGCAAAGGAGAGCATCGCTCAGGACACTCACCGAGGTTGTTATTGGCGAAATGCTGCTGCAGCTGCTGATGGAGCGCCTGCTGGTGTTGCGCCATAGGTGTCAGTGGCGCCGCTGGTTGGAGGCCCAGCTGATGCGCCGACTGTGAGTGCGCAACGTGACTGCCGCCGGTTCCGCTGCCCGCCATGAGAGCCGCAATTCCCGCCGATAAGTGGCTGCCGCCAATCTGCTGTGCTGACTGCGACGAAGGCACATGCCCCGAAGACATCGACACCGTGCTGGAGTTGTTGTTGTGATTATTGTTGTGGTTCTGCGATAGCAGTGACTGATTGTTTGGATTGGTCGGACTCGTGAGGACGGCATTGTTTGTACCGTTGGGAGATGGACTGTAGAGGGACGAATCGTCACCTGAAATATTTTGTCGAAAAGCAAACATTCCGTCAGTAAATGCTCAAGACCAGAGAATCTCAGGCACACTCGTCGTCATCCAATACATCCACCACCAGAACTACCACCAAATCTAAGCTACAAGAAGTGCGCGCGACCCTCGACAAAGCTCCACAATCCTGCCGCGCTTTTGTGCGCCTCAATTCCAGAGAAGAATACACTTCCCACAACACTAATTGATCTCTCGCACTCTGCAATTGTCACTATTAATGGCAAAGTGAAGCAATCTTGTACAGTTACTCATCGATGATTGAACAGAGGGGAAAATTAGACCGGATGCAAAATGCATAGTATAAATAGAATATAATCCCAACGTGATGAAAACTATCAGATTAACAGTGTGAACATCCGTAAAAATAAAGCTATAAAGGCATATAATTTACTCACTGGGGGAAAAAAACTACCGCATTAATTGAGGCATTTAAATAAGAAAATAAAATTGTGTAATCACAAAATATACAGAATAATAATGACTTTCGCACGACATCATAATATGAAAAAAATATGATTATAAATCGCATAACGAAAAAAAATATATTTTATTTGTATTTTAGATGCTGCATTTTTACTACATATAATTTTAGCGTTTATTGAAAATCACAAATTTATAAATGATTCATACAAAAACACACAATTTAACATGCATTTCAACATCTGTGACTAGAAATATTATTCAACACAATTTTATGCAGACACTTTAAAAGCTCAGCATTACCATTAATACATGATAAATGGATCTATTACGAGTCTATTAGTTATAAATCCAGTGATTTAAGAGTCGGAAATCATGCTAGAGTGTTTAAAATATTATGATTTTTCATTAATTCCGCAAAGCCAGACTCAAAACAAGCTTTAAACTACACAAAACACCAACAAACTTTGCTAATTGAAGTAACATTTGCAAAACTTATACACAAAACTAGTGGAAAGTTTCGTCATGCAAAACTACACAAGAAAACTTTTCAACACACTTCAAACAGCCAAAATATTTTCTATGTCACTCAAAATTTCAAAAATCACACAGGAAGAAATTTCAAAATTCTCCACATAAAATGCATAAACAAGCATTTCCGTCATACTTTCCTACAAAGCAATATCATACCCAAAATTCATGGTGAGAATGTTGGGGACATAAATAGCAATGTGACAAGTCTGTAATTTATATATCATTTTGCCACATCTTTAAATATGAACTACACCCAAAAATAGAGACAGACAATTAATGGCTATAAGTCTCAAATCGTCTAGACTCCATATCACACATCAGCGCACGAATACAGTGAATGGGTTGGCTGACGATGGCGAAAAATGTACCAGCCCATGAGTTAATTAGGACAATTAATGTTAGGCAATGAAGATAGTGCAGAGAGAAAAATTAATTACAAGCTCTTATGGAGATGTTAGTGACAAATATGCTACAAATGTTCGTAGGCAAAAGCTCTCTTGACCCCAAACAGCCTCAATTCTTTCCTCCCCCTCCGCACTAAACCTAAAAGCATCTCTCCACACCCACGTGTGGAGCAAGAGTGGATTGATATGTCTCTCTACCTGACTCTGGAATTGTTGAAATTGGCGAATCCGGCAAAAGAATTCCCTTTTGAACTAATTCTTCACGATTGGCACGGACAGAAATTTTTCTCTCTAGTGCTATAAAGGAGAAAAAAGAACAAAAAAAAACAGAGCGCCACAAGAAGTGGCACAAATTAGATACCAGTAAAAAAAAAATACATCTGAAAGAAAATTAAATAAAGTGAATTGTGTTTAAGAAAGAAGAATCAGTGCACAGAGGAAAGAATAAAACATTTTGTTGTTTAACTTGTAATTCGCATTCACACCAATTTGTAATTCAAGTCAATTCAGTAATATTTCCAATTTCTTCTTCTTCGTTCAAGTTCTTAGCCTCATTCGGTGCTTTTCAGCAACTTCTCTTGCAATTAATTATCACTTTGACAACATATAAATCATTATTTCCTCCTTAACTTCCATCCCAACATCGATTCACGATTAGATAGATGATATTTAAAAGCAATTGCCACACACACAACATTATATGTTACATATATTGTGAAATACACGATCCATGAGATATTTTAATGACTCATTGGCAAAAGAATAAATAAAACACACAATCAGAAGAATATTGAATTAATTCAGCGTCTTCACATTCAAGGAATTTAAATTGCTCTTCAGACTTGCAATCAAACTAATGCTTGCGAGAAAACTGCAATTACTCAGATAATATTGATGTAGCAAAAATGTGAATAAAGACTCCAAGTTTGTACATTCGTCGCTCTCGTCACGTCAGAGATGCGCGCGTTAGAGGCAAAATTTGCCAAAGTGAAGAGAAAAAAATGTCAATGTCACTGAATTATATAGCGAAAAATGATCATCATTCGCGGAGAGAAGCAATAAAGTCTGTAGCTTTTGTATGGCGCAAAAGTCCAAAAGCATTGTGAATAATACCCTGACCTCATCATCCCACTTAATTTCACGTTTCTCCAATCATTTTAATGGTGATGTTAATGAGCAAATAATACACGCAGAAAAGATAATTCTTCTCGCTTAAGTAAATTTTTTTTCCAAAAAATCATCAAAATTTGTTGAAATAAAATTGTGATTTAATATAAAACTGAAATTGAGAGTAATTTGAAAAATACACAAAACATTCACGGGGGTATTTTGACAAAGGTGTCGAGCATGCAAACAATCTGATAACGTTTACCCAGTGAAACATGCTCTTATTAAATATTGATATTACGAGTCATAAAGCCATAATAAACTTTGCATTAATCAACATTCCAAATGCTTATGAAGCTGAATTTATGAATTTCATTGATGCATTTGCTGAATTAAAACCGCACAATTTGCAATGTAAATTCAAATCGTGTCCCTTTTTGGCATCCCTTCCAAGGTGGGACACGAGAGAACCATTTATTACATCAGACACATTCCGTTTAGTCAAATGAGACAAAATAAAATTCTCAGAATGACATGAAGAAAGAATAAAAAACCTCACGATGACAAAGAATTACTGACAAATGGCAAAAAAAAACATTTTCCCCACGTATTATTAGCAGGTGAGAATCTCTCAAAGAATTCAACCTGAGAAAACAACGTGCACTTTTTGTATAGCTGAAGATTTTCCTCTTGCAAATTAATTTCACGAGTATTCTTCTTCTCTGTTGTCTGTTGAGAATCTCATGTATAAAATATCACCAAGAGCATATTAATTTGCTGCGGTTTCATCTATTACACACACCCACTAAAGATCATTTTGTCCGCCTCTTTTCAATATTAATAAATGCTCTGTTATCTCCAGATATTATCCCGAAGCCAATAATTTCACTTCTTCTCAACCGGGAGAAAATTAGTGTTCCTCTTTTTCAAGTGATAAACCACACAGTCTATTCAAAGACCCACACTGGATGGCATTAAACGGTGGAAAATACACTTGAGAAACTGCTGTGATGTTAAGTGGTGTTCTACATGATCCACTTTTGAGGTGAACAGAGTGAGATCCATTAGTATCTGGAGAAAACACACCTAATAAATAGACCACCCATGGAGGCAAGTTTCTATTAACTGGCAATGACACATTGACTTCAACCCCTTCTGTTAAATTTTCACACTTTACTTCTGGCTCAAATCCCTGGTGAAAATGTTATTAGACTAAGTGAAATTCAATTACAAACCATCTTCTTGGTGGAAAATATGTAACATCAGAAACTAGTTTGTGGTGTGTGGGAATGTAAATGATAAGACATCGCGTGAGTGATATGATTGAAAAATTAATAACTTCGCGACAAATTGCAATTTTCTGGCTAAATAAATGATGATCATCGCTGTGGCTCGCGAGTGCACTCGCTTAAGGCAATCGCCCTCGGAAATCTAATACAATTACAACGGGAAAATGAATCTCTCTCACATCCTTCTCTTCACACACAACCATTATACAAATATGAGGCATTTTATCATCCAATTTCAACTCACATTTCGATGTAGCTTCAAATTTTTCACTCTTCTTTTTTCGTCGCCACTTCCATGGTTTGAAAAATCGTCCGAATGCACTAAATTTGCTCTTTCGCTCAATCGGCGGTGTCCTAGTTCCGGAACCTAAACTATTTGTACGCAGTGCAGCGCCGTTGTGTTGTTTTTTCGCTGTAAAGAGACAGAAAAAAGACGAGAAGAAAAATAATTAATGAGAAGAATCATTATGCATTACACTGGGATAATGTTGAATAATAAATCTTGCAGTATTTCAACAATAATGATGTGTATATTAAAAATTTACTATATCCATTAGTGTCTTTAAGCCAAGGGTAAATTCATTAAATTTCTGTCAGCACAAAATAATAATAATTTCAGAGGCATCAAAAATAAACAAGGGTTGCAAAGGGACGTTTAAAAAATGTTGTGTGAAAGACCAACAACATTATTTTGTCTGTTTCGTGACACTTTTATGAGGATACTATGAAAAACTCTGTCAAGAGTTAAATTTAATCTAATTTCAAGGGTTTCACCTTCGCAGACGGTGAAGAAAACTCTCCACAAATAGCCAGGATAACCCTAATGTATTAGAGATAATTGCTTTCAATTCTTTTCATCCCCTCGAAAAATCTGCTTAATAGACTTTCGAAGAGGAGAATTAATTTTTAGACAGAGAAAATGATTAGCTAACCGTCTTGGTAATGATTGTAGATAATTTACCAACCCCTTCGATTCTCAACTTCGTTAAACCACCAATTTGCTTGCACAAAAGTCTTTCACCACAACCAGTAAAAATTTGGGGAAAATCACCCTCAACTCACGAGTGAGCTATAGGAAAATATATATCACTGGAAATTCTTCACGTCTTCACGAATTTTCCTCTTCAACGATAAATTTTCATTGAGTGAGAAAAATATGGAGAAATTGTGAGACGCATGGGAGGAATAAAGAAGGGAGAAAGTCACAAAAAAACGTACACTCGTTTTTCATATGAAGGTATGACATGCTTCAAATTCTCCATATAGATTTCCGGTAGGAAATATAAACACCGTCACAATACATTCGAAGGGAATTTCACAAAAATCTTTCCATAAAAATGCAGCACAGAAGAAGTTATCGAATTGCGACTGATAATATTCAAATGGAAATTGATTGACACATCTCTCAGAGATTCTATAGATCCTCTTTCCCCTTAAAATATTACAAATTCGCAAATTGACAATTTCCTCAATCTTCTAATGGTGGTCACATTCACCATACAAACACCCTCAACATCACACATTCACTTCTCACTTCGGAAGTCGTGGCTCTTCTGCTGCGCCTTTGGGGGTGAAATGTGAAATGCACTTTTGCAGTTGATGTATTCTTGAGCACTTTGTACCAAGTCAATACCAACAGAACTCCTCCACGTCGAACTCCACCCACACGTTTGTCCGATTTTTCACTTTGAGTCACGCAAAGAAAATCAATTATATATTGCCTTCACTGTCAATTCCCATGTGTCACCTTAATTAATTAACCAGATAGACAATATAAACAAAATATTGCCTCCAAATCGTGACTCAAAGCGGTCAATTTCAATGGCCAATGATTCGAGAAATTATTGACATACAACAACAAAAGTAGAATCTTTCCGTTCTCTTTCAGTGGCCTAACAGTATCTGTAGTAAAATGGTTGTCTTTATTGTCTATTGAACTGGATTGCACAGTGTTATATACAACATCAGCGGAATTTCTGCAATAAAAGCTTATATATATGTTTTAAATGGTCATAGCTTTAAATACACTCTCCATGAGAGACGAATATGAATTGAAAAAGAGAGGCAAAATTGTTCAAATTTTCACATAAAACATGAGTAACGCACATTCAAAAAAAAGGCGAACAATTCACCTCTCCAAAGCCTTTTAATGGGAACTTTAGGGAGGATTTTCCGCACAAGACAGGAAGAAAATCCTGAGTAGCCATTTAGCTGCTAAATCAATATTGATATAAGGAGAAAAGTGATGACATTGCATTGATTTTTTTTCCACTTCTAGGAACTTGTCAAGCATGATATGTCGGATACTGAAATGGGAACTTCACCTCTTCTTGACTTTAGCCATTCCTGAGGAATGTTATCCTCCAGCAAAAGGGATTCTTGAGGAATGTGTAACTTTTTTGTACTCAATATACATTTTCTTCCGTGCACTTGCGAAAATTGATTTAAATTATTAATCTCAGTGTAATTCACGTAAAAAGGGGACCGGGAAAAAATTTCACAAGAACAAGTAAAACACGTAAAACTCGGATATATAAAAGCTCTCTGTTCATTTTCGACGAAATTTCCGTGCTAAAAAGCCTAAGAATAAAATCCCATCTTTTTATTATCGCCTCTTTTCTTCTCAGCAATTTGAGCTTTTAACCAAAAAATGATTATCACCTTATTTGGCTGGTCATTTTCCGCACAAATTGGAACATGGAAGCGCCCATATTGTGCGTATGTGTCGTAAAAGTGAGATTTTGATCTATTTTTGCAAACCTTCGCCAGAGTTCTTGCTCTTGACTTCCCGCGAAGAAAGTCAAATGCCAAATAATTAATTTAAATTCTCTCTTTCCCTCTCTCACACACTTTCTCGATGCTATTTCTGTACCAATCTCACCACCCTATTAGAGGCGCCCATTGAAGGTCTCCGCGCGCGCGGGATAATGCGACGAACACGAGGCGCACCTTCATTGTACAGCATTCACAAGATAGAGTCAATCTACTGAGATGTTTTATTGTTATTTTAGATGCGCTCCGCGAGGCATTTTATATAGAGAAACATTTTCCAGTTATAAATAATGACTAGGCCATCATCAGCGGCACCAATGTCATTTTTCATGGTCATCCGATTATTTATGTTACACATATTGTAGAAAGAAGCCAAGTAGGAGAGAGAAACACACACCCGAATCATCAATTCAATATACAAGATAGCCAACCAGCATTTTACAAACAAAACCCAGCAGCAGCCACAGCTCGTCTCGGATGGGAAGAAGTGAATTGTGTATATAGATGAAATCTCCACCGCGATGTTACTAAAATATCACACTTTCCGTGTCGACCAGAAATATCCACCGAGTGGCTACTATATCGATTACTATCGCGAAAAGGAGACAAAAAAGCGCATATCAAACATATGAATCATTTAGCCATCCACTTGTATTATGCATTCCAAAAGCTCTCTTTGACAACACCGCCGAGGACTGACTTTCAGCAACACCCAAATTCCACCATCCAGCTCAATCTCAAATCCTTCAAACATTTACACAGTTCGCCTTAATTTCCTGTCTTCAGCTCAATTTCCATCTGCCTGCTTATGCGAAGCAACAGATTCCACCCTCCTCATTCGGGGGACACTTTGCCACGATGACAAGAGACAATTGAGAGAAGCAAAATAGGTACAAGAAGCCAATGGAGGAAAATGCGAGGCATCAGTGTTCATAATGTGGGAGAAAATAGCTTTTTCGCCACCTCTTCACTCACCTTCTCCCTCTCACTCTCTCCGCCAATGACTCTGTATCTCACTTTGGCCCGCAGAGGCCAAAGTATGAGGAAAAGTTCGCACAGAGTGTGCAGAACAATTTGTTATGATTGAAGTTGGAATATTGGCACTGTGTCAAATTTGCTTGAACCATTATGAATTTATCTCCATTCATAAATCGTCAAGTTCATGAAATTTATTTCATTTCCAAGATTATTGCGTGAGATTGAATGGTTTTTCGGATAACAATGGACTAATACAGAAGCATTTCATGCACCATTTAACTCATACCAAAGTGAGATGTGCCACTCCAGAAGCAGCTGTCTCTCTCTCCATTTGAATCAATCTCCTCTTGTTTGCCTCCAATCCATCCATAACCATCGGAAATTATTGCCAGAGGAATTTCTCATTGCTTATTTACAAGCAGCAAAAACCCTCGAATATATGTACATATTGAGCACAAGAGATGAAAATCAATTGTCATTAATTTTAAATTCAACATTTTGATACACATGCAAACACTGATGGTGGAATTCCATGGAAGGAAACTGATGGAAATCCTCCTTATTTCTCCCCCTCAAACATCCCAATTGTATACATAAAACCGACTGGAATTGTATAGCATGAGATATTTGAGAGACAGAACTGTTGAATGAGTATCGAAAAAAAAAATTCACATCACTCAAAAGTGCAATGATACACGCAATTTTTCCCAACTTATTTTCCGCACACGCCCAGAGGGCATCACAGATCATACAATTGTGCAAGAAATCATATCTCTTTCACATCGAATAAATCATAGAGTGAAAATATAGGAATTAAAGTGCGCTTCAATTGCAAAAGGTGATCAAATATGCAGACAAGTAAGAAAGAAAGAAAGAAAAAACCGTACATGAACCATTTTTATTTACGACTCTCAACTTTCTTATTCTCGCGCATAGATTTTTTCCCATCATATATATCCACCCAACTTCCCATTCGATGGAATTTTTCACTTAAAAACTTTTACGACTTCATTCATCGTCTTCAAAGTACGTATTTTGCTTCATATTTCACTCCCTTTGCGCGCCTCCTACATTGGAAATGTAATACACATTTCGGTGTTTGTTACGCCTTCTCATGAGAGCATGAGGATGACTGTATCTATATAGTCAGTTTGTTTGGTGAAGAACTCGCGCGAAATGGTCAAAATTGTTCTCATACTTTCCCCCCTAACAGCATGGGAAAATTCTCATAGTCGGCACCAATGTTTCCCCATTTTCCATTATATTCAAAACAGCAGTAATGGAAAAAGATGCCATGGATATGTTCTTTTCACTATACAGCATGGAGAAAAGCAATAATAATTGCATCTCTACAATGTGATTATTAGTATCAGAAATTTAAAATTCAAACGATGAAGAATATATTCACACAAAATCGTGGGTCGCGTCAAATAAACCCCATTATGCAATTTGCAATCAACCAAAGGAGTAACAAAACACCGATGTTGTCCACAAATCACATCTCCACTTCACTCACACTCACTCTGTGCAATTTTATAAGCCACATTTACATGTAATTGATTGCTATTGACTCACACCTCAAATCACCATTCGTACACACAATTCTCTCTCTCTCTCTCTAAGCACCCCACATTATTTACATGCCAATATATAATTGTGACG